GGGGGAGGGGTTAGATAACAAAACGAAAGAAACAGAACACACAACTCATAGATTAGGCCTTCTTTATTATTTCCCTTGAATTTATGACTGGATCCCTAAAAACGAGAATCCTGCTATAATGGATATATTGCACTTGTACCCTCCCTCTTGTTATAGCAGGATTCCACTCTATGTGTGTCCACAGAAGTGTGTGTTGTGTGTGTATGTCTACAGACGTCTGTGTTGTATGTGTACAAATGTGTGTGTTGTGTGTGTGTACAGACATGTGTGCTGTGTGTGTGTGTAGTGTTTGTACAAACGTGTTTGTTGTGTGTGTGTGTACAAACGTGTGTGTTGTGTGTGTGTACAGATGTGTGTGTTGTGTGTGTGTACAAGTGTGTGTGTAATGTGTGTGTACAAACGTGTGTGTTGTGTGTGTACAAACGTGTGTGTTGTGTGTGTATAAGTGTGTATAAGTGTGTGTGTAGTGTGTGTGTACAAACGTGTGTGTTGTGTGTGTAGTGTGTGTGTACAAACGTGTGTGTTGTGTGTGTAGTGTGTGTGTACAAACGTGTGTGTTGTGTGTGTGTCCACAGATTCTCCTGAAGGAAGGCTTTGAGCCAGCGGTGCCGGGCCCGGCGTGTAGCGGATGTTGCCACAGCGCATCTGCGTCGTGCGACTCTGCGTGTTCTTCGGGCCACTACCCCTTCTACAACATGTGTGTGCAGCGCAGCGAGATGGTGGCCCGCAGCGCCCGCCTCAGGGCTGAGTTTGAGGCCCGGGACCGGCTGAAGCTAGACCTGGACAACAAGTGCACGGAGCTGGGGGCCCCGTGGGGCGGGCAGGGCAAGGTGGCGGGCGGCACACAGACGCTGCGCTCCCTGCGACTGGTGGCCTCCAAGGAGACCTCGGTGTCGCCAGGTACCGTCAGTCTGTGGCAGGGCACCAAGAACTTCTCCGCTCAGTTCCCGCCAAAGTGAGTCTGTGTGTCGCTGTGTGAGTCTGTGTGTCACTGTGTGTGTGTCGCTGTGTGAGTCTGTGTGTCGCTGTGTGAGTCTGTGTGTCGCTGTGTGTGTCACTGTGTGTCTGTGTGTGTGTCGCTGTGTGTGTGTGTGTCTGTGTGTGTGTGTGTGTCTGTGTGTGTGTGTGTGTGTCTCTGTGTGTGTGTGTGTGTGTGTCTGTGTGTTACTGGCGTGTCACTGTGTTATTTATATGTTACTGATGTGTCACTGTGTTA